AAACTTTCTCCAACTTAACAGTATTCAAAGCTTTATCTTGTTTAATCACACACCACCAGAACTCCACTCTTCTTAAATTTTCTTTTTTTTTTTTTTTGGTCAGTCATGGGGCTTGAACGTAGGGCCTGGGTGCTGTCCCTGAGCTTTTTCACTCAAGGATAGTGCTCTACCACTTTGAGCCACAGCACCACTTCTGGGTTTTTTGGTGGTTCCTTGGAGATGAGTCTCCCAGACTTTCCTGCACAGGTTGGCTTCGAACCACAATCCTCAGATCTCAGCCTCCCAAGTAGCTAGGATTATACTTGTGAGCCACTGGCACTCAGCTTTAAATATTTTTCCTGATTGGGGACTTGGCCTATTTGAGATTTCCCCTGGGGAAAAGATGCTACAGCTTTAGTAGAAACCCATCTAGACTGCAAGCATGAGCAGTGCCAGCTTCCTCTATGCTTGATTTCAAAGTTGACCACAAATGCCAGAGCTTTATCACCCTCTAACCACGATTGCCCAGTGTGGTCTTAATTCTGGTAACCACAGGAAAGAACCTTCCGGTCAGAAGTTGAAGTACAATGTTAGCAACTGTAGGATGGCTGCCTGTCCTCCTGCTAACAACTTCATCAGAAAAGTGTTGGGGGGGGGGAGGGGGCTAGGATGTAGCTCAGTGGCAAAGCGCTTGCCTAGCAAGTACAATGTCCTGGGTTCGACCCTCAGTACCAAAAAAGAAGACAAAAAGAAAAAAGAAAAGTGTTCGAGTAGAAACTCAATTATACAATTCAACCCAGGAAGCAACTGAAAAGCCCCCCCCCCAAAAAAAAACATAACCCCAAACTCTACAATCTGGGCTCCCATGTTTTACTTCTGTAAGGGTCAATTTGTAATTCTTTCCCCCAGGCTTCCTATGACCTAGTTTCCTTAAGTCCACTAAATCTAAGAAAGTAAAACATGAGGGTGTGATTTGTGTGTGTGTGTGTGTGTGTGTGTGTGTGTGTATGTGTGTGTGTGATTTTGAGGATTGAACATAAATTCTTGTGGGTGGCAAGGAGATGCTCTACTACTGGGTGCTAAGCCACCAATTCTACAGACATAGCTTTAATAATCTTACAATATAAAAAATAAATAGAGTGCATGGCCAGATCATGCGAAGATTTAAATAGTAGATTCAAACATTTAATGTTGCCGGGTGCTCATACCTGTAATCATAGCTACTCAGGAAGCTGAAATCTGAGGATCCCAGTTTGAAGCCAGCCTGAGTAGACAAATCTGAGAGACTATTATAGTTAACCAGAAAAAAAAATCCCAAAGTGGAAGTTTTACTCATGTTGTAGAACTCCAGCCTTGAGCAAGTAAGTTATGTTTGGCCCTGAATTCAAGCCCCAGAACTGGCATGAAAACAAACAAATGTACTGACTAAATGTACTAGTTAGAAAGGAATGAATTGCTAAATGAAATCAAGGAGGAAGTGATTGATGCAGATAAAAATGGAAGAATTGAGCCAGGTACCAGTGGCTCACACCTGTAATCCTAGCTAGTCAGGAGGCTGAGAACTCTGAAGCCAGACTGGGCAGGAAGGTCTGTGAGACTCTTAGTTCCAATTAAACACCAAAAAAGCCTGTGGCTCAAGTAGTAGAGAGTCCTTAGTCCCTGAATTCAAGCCTCAGGACCAGCACCCTCCCCCCCCCAAAAAAAAGAAATGAAAATTAATTTAAGAACCATGCAGAGTATAATTTGAGACATTTTTTTAGAAAGAAATACGCTTCTGGAAAAGTATACTCGGAAAAAAATACTAGATGTTAATAAATTAGTAAATTGTAGATATTAATAAGGAGAGGGAAGGAAATGGGAATGAAAGGAAGAAAAGGAGAAATAGGAGGGAATAAAAGAAAGGACAAAAAGTAGAAATAAATCCAAGTAGAGAAAAATCCATGGGCTATAGATATAGTGTTGATGCTAAGTGTCAGTGTGCAAAAGACCCTACTATCAAACTTTAGTAATGAACGAGGTGGGGGGGGGGGAGGGAGGGAAGAGAAAAAGAGAAGGAAGGAAGGGAAGGAAAAGAAAGAAAAGAGCTGGGAAGGTGGCTCAGTGGTAGAGTGCTTGCCTCGCATGCATGAGGCCCTGGGTTTGATTCCTCGGCACCACATAAGCAGAAAAAGCCAGAAGTGGCGCTGTGGCTCAAGTGGTAGAGAGCTAGCCTTGAGCTGAAGAGCTGAGGGACAGCGCCCAGGCCCAGGGTTCAGATCCCAGGACCGACCCCTTCCCCCCCACCCCAAAGAAAAAGAAAGAAAAGAAAAAAAAAGGAAGAGGGAGGCCTAGGGGAAAAGAAGGACAGGGAAAGAGAGAGGAAAGAGAAGGTGAAGGAAGAGGGAGAAGGAGGGAGAATAAGTTAAGAAATGAGATGAGGATAGCAGTTGTGAGTATCCCAAGTCCAAAAATATGAAATCATCAAAGTTTTTAAAATTTGCAAGTTTTGAGAACTCACATGACACCACAAGTGGAACATTTCCCATCTGACCTCATGGATGATGGATGGCTATCAAAAACAGTGTACAAAAATATTGCATGAAATCACTTCAGGCTAGGTTCACAAGGCATATGTGAAACAAATAATATGTTCAGACATGGGTCCTATCCCGTATGCAAATATTCCAAACTCTGAGAAAAATCGGAAACATTTCTGATCCCAAGCATTGTGGGCAGGGGATAGGCAGCCTGGATGCATACAATCAGTTTGAGTACTCCAGAAATATAAACAACAAAAAAAGAAGGGAGTAACAATTCTGGACAAGAAATGTACTCATTACCGTCCAGCATCTTTACAATAGAATAAAATTTTAAAAAAATTAAATATAATAATTTTTAAAAAGCAAAAAAAAATATTTAAAATTTTCTGGTACAAGTGGCAGCCTCAAGACAGCACGTTTATGAAGCTGTGAAGCCAGGCATGTTGACGCACTCCTGTAATCCCAGCATTTGGGAGACTGGGGCAGGAGGATCAGGAGTCGGAAGCCAGGTTGAGTAGCAAGATGTTGACTTACAACAAAGCAACAACAAAAAGGCAAAAACAAAACCAGTCAGCAACAACAAAAAAGAAAGTGTGAACTTGAGGAACCCAAGAAGGGCTCAAAGCCACATCAGCGCAGACCAGCTCAGAAGCAGACACATGTGTATTCCTGATTTAGAGACTCCAGCAATGACTTTTTTTTTTTTAGTGGGTGGTCTGTAAGAATATCAGATTTGGATTTGTTCCGTGTAGGTCTGTTTTATTCAATACTTATGAAACAGCCAAGCAATATGTTGTCAATCATACCCTCAGGCATCTAAAAAGGACTCCCAGATATTTTATGGAATGTAGGCTTAAGAAATTGGGGAACGGCCAGGTATAGGCGCCTCCTATCTCTAATCCTAGCTACTCAGAAGGCTGTCAAAGTCAGTCCAAGCAGAAAAGTCCAGGAGACTCTTAACTCCCACCAAAAAGCTGGACTGGAGGTGTAGCTCAAGTGGTAGAGCACCAGGTGTGAGAGACAAAAACACTGAGACTCCAAGGCACCAAGTTGAAGCCCTGATAAGGATAACATGGGAGGAGTAATATAGACTAATTCTTTAAAGACAAAGCTAATCACATGAAAAGCTTTTCAACATGACCACAGAGTGACTATTTCAGCAGGAATCCTCAGATCTCAGCTTCCTGAGTAGCTAGGATTTCCGGCGTGGATCACTGATGCCTGATCAAAAATACAGTTTTTATAGGAAGAATAGGTTTTCAATGTGTTGTGGGCTGGGAAGGTGGCTCAGAGGTAAAATTCTTGCCTTGCATGCATGAGGCCCTGGGTTTGATTCCTCAGTACCACATAAGCAGAAAAAGCTGGAAGTGGTGTTGTGGCTCAAGTGGTAGAGCGCTAGCCTTGAGCTGAGGGACAGCGCTCAAGCCCAGAGTTCAGGCCCAGGCCTGACCAAAAAAATGTGCTGTGCATGGCCCTAGTGGCTCACACATATAATCCTAGCTATTCAGCAGGCTGAGATCTGAAGATTGTGGTTTGAAGCCAGCCAGGGCAAGAAAGTAAGAGAGATTCTTTTCTCCAGTTAACCACCAGAAGACTGGAAGTGGTGCTGTGGCTCCAAGTGGTAGAGCACTAACATTATGCAAAAGAGCTCAGGCACAGAGCCCAGGCCACGAGTTCAAGACCCATGAATGAAATAAGTATTACATTAAGTATTCATAACACCAAGAAACGATCCGTGTTGGAGGATATGCTAGTTACCCAGATGGTAGCATTATACATTACATGCAAATATCGAGATCTACTGTTCCCTATCAGTGTGTACAATTAGTGTGTCGTTTAACAAAAACACTTTTAATGTACTAATGATGCTGTAAGTCTATTATTTGCCCTCCCCTAAGGTTCAAATTTCACACGGCTTTCTGTAAGTACATCCTGCTCTCTTCCTTATTACGCAAACACACAGATTTGGTCAGGAAGGGACCCCATCCATCTTGATTGGTATTTCTCAGCATTCCAACCTGACATTCCCCTTCAGGGTTTACACGTGTGTGTGTGTGTGTGTGTGTGTGTGTGTTTAGGCAATCCCAACTGTTTCTCTCACGCATTCCTAGAGAACCCAAGTTCCCAGGCCCACCTGCCCCTTGCATTCATTTATTCCTTTAGCTTGATTTGGGATGTACCCAGATGACAGTTTCCTAAAAGTAGACTTCATCCTCCCTTGTATTGACACCTATCCAGCTCTCCTTGGTCATCCCCTCTTTCTGATGTGGTGGCTGGTGCCTTTCCTTAGCCCTACACCAGGAACCTCTCTCTCTCTCTCTCTCTCTCTCTCTCTGCTGGGCTGAGCAGGGGCCTGGCAGCCCCCGCCCACCCCGCCCCGCCCGGCTGGCGCGCGGCCCCGCCCCTCCTCCGGGCCCAGCCGCCAGGCCTGCGGTCTGCGGGCGGCGCATGCGCGGTGCCGGGTCCGCGGCCGCCCCGCCTCGAGCCCGCCGCTGCGGAAGGCGCCAGGCTTTGCACCCGCGCACTTCCTCTCGGGGAGTCGGCGGAGGCTCGACCAGCGAGCAGCTTGGCCGGAAAGCACCACGAGCTTCGAGCTTCCCGGAGGCCTCGCCCCGGGGTCCCAGCCGGTTGCCACGATGTCCGAACCCCACCAGGACCAGAACGACCCGCACTTGGCCGCCGAAGCGTCCGCCTCCAACGCCGCCGCCGAGGTACACTGCACCCCTGGGGTTCCGGTGGGGGTCCCTCCTCCCGACTTCCCCGCCCCGAGCTTTGCAGAGCCGGAGAACCCTCCCGCGGGCTCGGCCGCCGCGCCCTGCCAGGTGCCCGCGGAGGACGACCCCAAGGCCCTGCTGGAGGCCGCCGAGGAGGGCCGCGCCCACCCGTGCCCCAGCCCGCCGCCGCCGCCGCCCGCGCCGCCCGCGCCCGCGCAGCTGGTGCAGAAGGCGCACGAGCTGATGTGGTACGTGCTGGTGAAGGACCAGAAGCGGATGGTGATCTGGTTCCCCGACATGGTCAAGGATGTCATCGGCAGCTACAAGAAGTGGTGCCGAAGCATCCTCAGGCGCACCAGCCTCATCCTGGCCAGGGTCTTCGGGCTGCACCTGAGACTGACCAATCTCCACACCATGGAGTTTGCGTTGGTCAAGGCTCTCAGCCCCGAGGATCTGGAGCGGGTGGCGCTGAATAACCGCATGCCCATGATGGGCCTGCTGCTCATGATCCTGAGTCTCATTTATGTCAAGGGTCGGGGGGCCAGGGAGAGCGCCGTGTGGAACGTGCTGCGCATCCTGGGGCTGCGGCCCTGGAAGAAGCACCCCACCTTCGGAGACGTCCGCAAGCTCATCACCGAGGAGTTCGTGCAGCAGAACTACCTGAAGTACCAGCGCATCCCCTACGTCGAGCCGCCCGAGTACGAGTTCTACTGGGGCTCCCGGGCCAACCGTGAAATCACCAAGATGCAGATCATGGAGTTCCTGGCCAGGGTCTTCAAGAAAGACCCCCAGGCCTGGCCCTCCAGATACAGGGAGGCTCTGGAGGAGGCCAGAGCTCGGCGGGAGGCGCATCCCGATGCCCACGGCCCCCGCAACAGCGTCTGTGAGGAGTAAATGAGGAGGAGAGGTGGGGGGGGGAAGGGGCAGGTGGGGTTCTTGGAGGCAGAATCGTTTCTGACCGTCCACATTGCTTCTGGAAAGGGGGTGGGTGGGGCTCGGGTCATTTAGAGTATTCAGGATTTCCAGTGCAGTATTCCCAGTGTTAAACCTCTTCCGTTCTCAGTCACAGTGCTCTTTCTACATCTTCATGCCAATGTTGTATTCACGTGGGTATACTCTTTTGAGTAGTAGCGTTGTAGAATGTATGCATGTTTGTTTCCTAAAGTGAGCTCTGTTGGGTGCTTTTGCTTTTTGTGATTTTCTTTTTCTTTTTTTTTTGTACCAGAGACGTGCTAAAGTTATGAAATACATTGAAGGGGGGGAAAATATCTTTTTTTCCATCCTGTTCTTTTCCATGGGACCCATGATGTGTATTAAGGTAGACTTGATCCTGGAGAGTATGGAAGGGTTCACCACAGCTGGGCCTGACCAAGCCAAAAGTCAAGGCCCTCCCTCCTCTGTGACTCATTGGGCACCAGAAACATCCTCGCCGAAGTGAACTGGACTGATTGGAACTGAACTGATTTGAACTGGAATGGTCGGGAATGGTCCCAGTTGTGAGCACTTAGCACACTTTAACTAAAAACACATATATACCACCCCCATCATGAATAAAGTTTAACTATTAAAGATTCTCGTGATGCAAGCATTCTCCTGGAGAAGTGTATTTCTTTCTTGGTCATGTAAACAAGGTGGGGAGGGGGGGAATGAGGGAGGGGGAAGTCACAACTCCTGGACACGGGAATTATATGAAGCTTACAACTTTTTTTCTTTTTAATTAAACATATCCCTCACAAAAGTTTGACACAAGAGGAGGGGGATGGGGAAGGGTAAAAACAAATCTGTCCTTCATCACACTACATATAAATAATGACTGGTATTTATTTGTAATAGTTTCCAATTTTATCAAAACCAGCAAGTATATTTTGTGGACACATAAAGAATAGGACTTCATTGTAAGCCCTTTAAACTCATTTTATCCATTTCATTAACCCTTAACTATAGCCTTCCCAGGTATGGCTCCTAAAGCCTAATAAGAGGAGCTTAATAAGAGAATCCATGATCCTCCCCACCTGCTCAGAGTTTCTCCTGCCACCTCCTGGATTTTTCCTGAGGGTTGAAGATGAAGATGCCTTCCTGACAAGGGGTACCAGAGTGATCCACCTGACGCCTGGGAAATGGGGTTGGGACTGGGAAGTTGCCCCTGGAGGCATTTGTGACCACATTGTCTTGGAGTTACAGTGGGCAGCTAGGGAACCCTTGAAATGGTGGAGTGGGGTGAGTGGCAATGAATGAACAGCAGCAGCAGCAGCATGAAGCTGTCAATGCCTTTGACTAGGAGGAGTTTAATATAAAAAGGGGGCTTTCACAGTTTTATTATTTAAACTCCAAGAAGGGAGAAAGGCCATTTCATGAAAGCTGGGATCTCTTCTGTGCAAGCTGGATAGTGGGAGGGATGGGGAGGGGGCGACCTGTCACATCACTCCTAAAAGAAGTAAACTGGGAGTCCGGTTAGGGTGAGGAAGCTATCAGCTGGGGCTTGGAATTCCCTGCATTTTTTTAGCAGGTGGATGCAGGTGCAGAAGGTGCCTGAGAAGCCCCTGGGTTCCTGAGATGCAATCCAGCCTGTGTAGCAGCTGCCTGTGACATCTTCCATGAAGCTAGGGGAGTCAGGGGAGTCGGGGCGGGGTGTGAGGGGGGGAGTTGTTTCTATAACCACCCAGATAAATAGGGGAGTGACTTGACTTCCAGGAAACTTCCTGCCCACATCTAATGGGACTGTCACACCTGTTTAAGGAACAGGATTTGGAGAAAGCCTACCTCCCCTCACTACCCGCTACTCCCACAAATAAAAATAACCCTGCCCCTTTTCATTTACAATGGTGGGCTTCTCTGAGTGAGTCAGGGGTGCAGCTTTTATTCCTGCCCATGCTGTTTATGCCCTAATACAAGGAGTCACAGTGGGGCTGACGTCTTGCAGCACCTCTTGCTGTCAGAGCCAGAAGGAGCCCAGCAAAAATGCCTCACACACACCATCGCTCATCACCCTCCTCTGTGTGGTTAGAGAATGGGGAAGCCGCCATCTGCACCTATGGGACGGGCAGTGACCTAAGGCCATTGACCCAGGCAGCTGTGACCACAGAGGCCCAAACCTTGGCAGAAAAGCAGGATTCTGAGAAAGGAGGAGGTGACCTCAGCAAGGCACATGGGCAGCGCGGCTCTGCCACTGTGTTGTGGAGACAGGAGGAAAAGGAGGAGGAGGAAGAGGAGGAGGAGGGGGGGAGGAGGAGGAGGGGGAGGAGGGGGAGGAGGAGGAGGGGGAGGAGGAGGAGGAAGAGGAGGAGGCAGGTGTCAGCAACACAGATGTGGCATGAATGTTATTCCCGACACCTGGTCCTTCAAGAGGCAGCCATTTGCGGCCTGAGGACACAGCAGCCAAAGGATATCATCGATTTTTTTTTTCATACTGGGCTCTGCATTGTTAAATATCCTGCAGAAGATTCACCTACAAGACGCTGGAGAATTCTCTCGGGAATAGCTCCGAGCATCCTCGGCTTTCTATTCCAATATAGCAGTGCGTTCCTATGATTGTAGCCGTCAGAGCTTTCCTTAATTCCTTACAACATGTGGCCTTTTACCGGCCACTAGAATGTTATTTATTCACTAACACTCGTACACCACCCGTTTCGCTTTAATTAATTTTGTTTTATTAAAATCATGGAGGGGAGAGGAAAGGACGTTTGGAAATTAAACATAAATGACAGTCACATCTAGTTTCAGCTGCCTTGAGAGGAAAAAATAAGTTCAAGCAGTAACATAATGAAATAGAAAAGAGATCTGTATGCGTGTGTTTGTGTGCACATGTAGACGGACACACCTGCCAATACTGGAGCTTGAACTGAGGGCTTGATTGCTGTCCTTTAGCTTTTTTGCTCAAGGCTCGTGTTCGACCACTTGAACCACAGCTCCATTGAATCTGTAATGCCTTTCCTTGGTTTGTCACTCCTATTCCACACCACTTCGAGTCTGGCTTGACCTATCTAGGAACACTACTGCCTGGAAGGTGCTTCTGCTAGCTCTGTAGGTGCCATGGGGTTCTAAATTTCTCATGCAAATAAGTGTATTTCTTATCCTGATCCCCTTCCATCCCTGATCATTAGTGACTTAAATGGAAGAACTGTATCGGGCATGCTCATCATTTTTCTTGTACTTCTTGACTTATGGAAATGCTTGGTAAGTATGTGTTGTTAAGGTTAAGAAAGTCCAAATGCTAGGTAACTCGAGCAGTTGGTTAGGGTTAGGAGAGATGGGGGCAATTATGGAAGAGGTGACCCTGATCAAGATGCATTCTACTCATAAACTGATGTACTGAATTAAAACCCCTTTCGTACAACTATTTAAATATAATTAAGAAAAATAAATCAAATAGAGATGTACCTTAAATGGAAGAACACCAGCCTTGAGAGAAAAAAGCCCAGTAAGAGTGAAAGGCCCTGAGTTCAAGCCACAGTACTGACACAAAAATAAATGAATCAATTTTTTTAAAAGAGAAGAAATAATAATAAGGGAAATGTCAAATATTAGAAAAGAGCTAACCCCCCACCCATACAGGAAAACAAAACTACAAATAGGGAGCTGGGCACTGTTGGCTCATGCCTGGATTATTAGTTTTTCAGGAGGTTGAGATGTGAGGGTAGATGATCAAAGAATCCCTCCAGGGCAGAAAAGCCCATGAGACTCTTCCTACAATTAACCAGAAAAAAAGCCAGGCTGGAGGCCTGTGTTAAGTGATAGAACACCAGCCAAGCAAATGATTAGAGCAAAGCATAGGTTCAAACACACAAAAGAACCGCACAAAAAGAAAAAACAAGCAAAACAACAACAACCCACCAACCAACCCACAAACAAAACACCTACATGGAGCAAACTACAATCAACTAATGAGTTGAGAAATCAGAAAAGCTAGACCCATTGAAAGTAGTGAAAGAAAAATAAAGAAAATGAAAAACAAAAAATAGCAGGGGCAGAAAACTGTTTTGAGAGTCCTTTCTTTGAATATCTTGGTACAATGAACCAGGATCTAGTAAATTTTTTTCCTAAAAGATAAACAGTACCGGTAAGATTATTAGAAAAAAAAAAAGTTCTCTCAACCTAAAATAAATCAGTGTTTCACAACTAACACAAATAACAACTGAGAAAAACATTTAATTCATCTTGGCTTTTAAAAGAAGCATATTGCTTGGGAATTAAATCAAATGGGTAGTAGAAAGTGGATATGCAGAGCTAGGAAGGCTGTTGAAATTACCATTCTTTCACCCTGCTATCATTGTAAGAATGACTCCAGGCTGCCCTGCACACTCATTTGGGATGCATAGTGAGCACTTAAAATGTTACAGATAGGGCGCTACGAGTTGGACATGCAGAGGGAACAGAAAAGACATTGTCCTGCGGCCACAGAGCATTCACTAGATTGAAAGAAGCAGGTGAATGAGAAGAATGACCCTTCAGTCCAGGGAGAGCCGCGGGAGGAGAAATACGAAGCTGAAGAGCCACCGACAGGTGCACACAACACACACAACACGGGCTTTCCAACACAGATGTATAAATTGGCATCTATAGGATGAGAAGCAATTAATAACATAACCGCTATGGAGATAACGATAAACTTCACAGGAGGGTTTCTGTGTGTCCGGAGAGCCGATCGGCGAGTATGCCACCCCCCGCCCCCAAAGAAATACAGGCCAGGGGAGGAGGAGTGACAGGGGGAAAAACAACAACAAAAAACGAAGATGAGAAACACGTTTTTTGAATTATAAACATCTTTCTTTATCTCTTAATTTCCTCATTAAGCCTTCTTTTTATCACCTCGCCGGGAGGTTAAAACCCTTAACTGTATTATATTTTCATTTGTCTGAATAGTGTCTTATGTCCCCTTATTTGCCGACTTTATTTAATATGAAAAGATTTGGCAATGTTTGTTGGTTGGTTGGTTGGGCTACACATTAATTTCTTTATGTATTCATTTAACTGAGGTTTATTGAACTTTTAACTCTAAGGCCAAACTGTGCTTTAGACTTAGCAGATATTGGTGAATTTAATTTTTAAAAACATGGTCTCAATAAGTATGAGATAGATCGTTGTGTTTGCTACCTAACCATTCCTCCCATAACAGCTGTCTGGATTATTAGATCAACACTCCAGGTATTAAGGGGCTTGTGGCCAAAGAACCCTTATTTTATTCAATAAAAGCCCCAGCCTGCATGATCAGTGATGTTGACGATTCTATTATATTATCTACTACATGCTATTACATTATTGCTCCATGTTATTATTTTAGATTTTAGAGAAGGAGTTTAGAGACACAAGGAATGGGTCTGGCTGCCGGGTTTCAGCTGCAACATAAGCAAGTGGTCCGTTTGATTTTACTCAAACAGGAACGAAGGGGGAAAAGAACACATTCGGGGCTAACGCTACAAATGAGTTTACATATGCAAGGAGTCAATGAACTATTCTAACAGCAATATGAATTAGACAAATAAAGATCCATCGCTCAGGGAAGGGGAGAGAAAAAATCTCTCGTGGAGCAATGCCTTCATCTAGGAGAAAGTGTAGAGTAAATGAAAGTATTCTCTGATTTTATTCTGGGAA